GTACATCAATATTGTGCTAATTGTTTTCTCCTTGAAAAAGCATTAACTAGAATTTCCCGCTAAACTAGTGTCCTTGTGCAATGACCGACGTTATACAGTACACGATACAGTACTGTACAATGGAGGTAACCTTGTACGAGCGACATCTATGAATTGCTCCTTCGCTTGGGCTTCAAGCTAGGTTTTGCATGCTCTGTTAGTGTACAGTATTGCCTTAATTGCCGTTAGGGCAGGGCCAGTCTTCCTAGTTGTTGAGTTCTCGAGCGCATAAGTTCACCCGATTCCACTAGCTTTCATTTTAAGATGTATTAACGTACCATGCGCATCTTGTTTTCTCAAAATTGAGAGGAAACAAGTGGGTGCGGATTATATTCGATTCTAATGGGGAATTTTGGATAAATTTCAACAAAAAAGTCTTGTAATGGAAATAATTGAAAATCAGTTGAATTCAGGTTCACTCATGTCTGCATTCAAATTTTGGTGTTCTTATTTTTGAAATTTTTCAGTTTTAAAGTAATTCAAAATAGGGCAAGGGTCTTACTCGGGGATGCAAATTTATCAAAATTTTTGACTGAAATACCCTGTTGCGCGTCTCACTCGCGTAAATGCGGTAATTTTGACTAATTTGCATTTTATGTTGTTTATTTTCAAGCTGACGAATGTTTCAAACTCAACGCTTTTGGCGAGGTTCTTGTCCATCGAGTCGACTAACTTGAAAGAAGTGCTAGCGAAGAAGATTCCCGAGAAGCAGAAGGAAGTGAAGGAGTTTCGCCAGGCTCATGGAAAGACCAAGGTGGGCGAGATCACAGTTGACATGATGTATGGAGGCATGCGCGGGATGAAAGGTCTCGTGACTGAGACCAGTGTTTTGGACCCGGAGGAAGGCATTCGTTTCCGCGGCTATTCAATCCCGGAGTGTCAGGAAAAACTGCCGAAAGCCAAGGGTGGCGAAGAACCCCTGCCCGAGGCACTGTATTGGCTGCTTTGCACTGGCGATATTCCAACCAGTGCTCAGGTAAAACCAAGTTGTTAGTCATTTTATCTTGGAACTTTGGATCGATTCGATTTCTAGCGCTTTCCATAAACAGCTCACACAATATTTCCTTATGTTGAATCCAAAAAAACTTGTCTGAATTTGAATTGAGCGTATCACGCCACTGTAGGTTGTTTTGAGGCAGGTATCGTATGATAATCTAATGAAACAACTGACCTTTGATCGGATACGTTCCTTTGGTAAGATAAATATCTTTAGAATCAGATTTCCGTGCAAAAAATGTTCACAATTTGTAAAACAAAAAAACTTTGAAGTTTAATGAATTTCCTGTTTCAAAATTTATCTTGTCATGAGAATTGAAAACGTTGTTCTGGGGTCATGAATCTTATTTAATCTGCTTTAAATGAGTAAACGATGTTCGCAAATTTCACTTCGCAGTTGGAATTACAGTATTATTCGTTTTTCATAACTGCTGTACGTTACTTCATAAAATAGATATTGTACTGTGCAGTATGTTAAAAAAATTAATACCACGCACGACATTTTGTCGCATAGAATTTTTAAAATCATGTAACCATTTGAACTACACTCTCGTCCATAAATTTACTATATTGATCAATTCATCTGCTGTTTTTGGTGGTAGGCATAGATTCAATTAATATTTCTTGTGAAAGTCGTAAAGAATACCGATATTCTTGAGTCCATGCAATTTGGAGGCATATTTTTATATTTCTGTTGATCACATGAATTGAAGCGGCGTTGATTTCATGGAGGATGTTATTGATATTTCTTAGACTAGAAATACTGTAAAATGTTCAAGTTTCAGTTGATAATGGAATGTTTTTATGGTTTTCGAAATGTTATGGAGAAATTCGTTAATAACTGCTGTATTCGTGAGTCTTGATGAATGTTCGTGCATGCTTCTAAAACTCTGTTTATCACGTGTAAGCGGCGTTGATTTCATCTTGGAGTTTCCAGACATGAGCGAGTCTTGAAATGTGTTGTTCAAGTGATGATGAAATATTACTGTCGTGCTCATGTTTTAGGTTGCGGCTTTGTCCAAGGAGTGGGCCAACAAGGCGGATTTACCGTCTCACGTTGTGACGATGCTCAACAATTTCCCGTCGAATCTGCACCCGATGTCGCAGTTCTCTGCTGCCATCACCGCGCTGAATTCCGAGTCTCAGTTTGCGAAAGCCTATGGGGAAGGCGTGAAGAAGACCGTGTATTGGGAACACGTTTTTGACGACGCCATGAGTCTCATTGCCAAACTGCCCACGATAGCGGCGACCATCTACAGGAATCTCTACCGTGACGGCACCTCGATCGGGGCGATCGATCCGTCGAAGGATTGGTCGTGGAACTTTACCTCAATGCTCGGCTACGAGGACCCCATGTTCACGGAACTCATGCGTCTTTACTTGACGATTCACAGGTAATTTTTTCCATTTTGGAATGTCCCGATTTTTGTCGAAGAATAATTGAGGGTTCTGATGCCACTCAAACATATTGAGAAATACAGTACATTACTGGAGTTTAACGATGGGGAACTGTTGAAGTAAATTACTGCCTCGATTAATTTTCTTTCGTTCCTGTAATGTGAAGCTTGCATACATGTACCGTATATGTCTAATTGTTTTTGGATCGCAAAAAATCTATTTACTGAGTTCAAATCTAAATGGGACTGATCCTTCGCAGATCCCTCGGGGGTTCATTCTAGAAATGCTTCGAAGTTGGTGTTAAATGAGTCAAGAATGTGGAAAATTTCGTTCAGGCTGGGGAAGCAAATGTTTTCCCCAGCAAAAATTAAGTAACGACATTAAGTAATTTTTTCACAGCTTTGAGATTTATAATATTTTCAGAGATAATTTTTTTTACCTTTTGATTCGAGGCATCAATTTTAAAAACAAGATACATAAAAATCCCGACCATGCAATTTTTTCATCAGTTCAACGCTTGAAAATGTAGAGGCCAACTTGAAGGCACACAAGTTAAGTTCAACAAGCCCCAGAAAGTAATTTTCCATTCTTTTTCGCCCAGTATCAAGACGCTTACAATTTTGAGATTGGACAAACTCAAACAATTTCTCTGTTGAACAAAATTTTTTAGCATGTACGGTTTTTCAGAATGTTTAACGGGATTCTATACGCAAAATTTTTTCTGGTCCCTTGAATTTTTTTCCCACTGTATTTATTCGCAAAACCGCCAGCTTATTGAGCTGATGCTCAGTTTAGTGGCGCCCAGGAGCCCCAGTGCGTGGTTGAATTGCTCTGAATTGTCCCTGTACCATTTGGTTGCATGAAAAGAATTGATGCTAATTTATTCATGTCATGATTATTTCAGCGACCACGAAGGAGGTAACGTGAGCGCCCACGCGACGCATTTGGTTGGATCCGCGTTGTCGGATCCATTCTTGTCCTTTGCCGCGGGGATGAATGGCCTTGCTGGCCCGCTGCACGGACTGGCCAACCAGGAAGTGCTGCTTTTCCTCAAGAAGATGGAGGCGGATGTTGGTCTGGATGCTGGACCCCAAGAACTCAAGGCGTTTGTCGAGAAGACGCTCAAGTCCGGGCAGGTGGTTCCAGGTTACGGACACGCCGTACTTCGGAAAACCGATCCGAGATACACTTGCCAGCGAGAGTTTGCGCTGAAACACTTGCCGAATGACAAGCACTTCAAGGTTAGTGGTGGACGGGGTTTGTGTGTTCAGGTCACGCGATGGAAAAGTTTCAGGATTTTTTTTTTCTATGGTCGATGTCGTTTGGTTCAATATCAAAAAATTATCTGTAGCATTTTTTTTTATTTTTTGTGACGCTTACTGTCGTGTGAGGTAACATTCTCACGATACAATTTTCGATTTGCCTACTCCTTAGACGTTGGAATTCCGGGATTTTAAACGTCATCTTTGTGTTGAAGCTGAATTAGGAATTTTGAGAGAAATTTCGTTACTAGTCTGCTTTTACGTCATGAAACGGGCGTTGAAAGGGGACTCGGGGTCTGCGGAACTATCAGAAAGTATGAATTGTTTCTTGAGCATTTATGTAACGCGCATTGTGTTTTGCGATTTCAGCTGGTGTCAACTCTGTATGAGGTCACGCCGCCTATCCTGCAAGCCACTGGCAAAATCCAGAATCCATGGCCCAATGTTGATGCCCACTCCGGTGTACTTCTTCAGGTAAGAACCGGAATTTCGTGAGATTTTCATTTTGATCTCGAATCCGACCGAGAACAAAATTTTGTCATATCTGGGAGATATTCAAAACAAATATTTTTAAATTATGTGGCTGGTGAAGCGTAATCACTTAGTAGTGATTCAGTTCCAGGACTGATTTATCTCCACTTGAAATGTTCAGTGCAGTCGAACCCCGATGAGACGCCACAATTTGTCGAGTGAGATTTTGGCCGTTTAAAGGGGTTGGCAGTCAATCGAATAGTTCAATTTGATTTTTTCGAATCCATTTCCTCGATTTTCATCCAGAAATAGAAATACGTGTTTTCTAGAAACTTCGGAAATGTTCCAAGGAGTATTGCTGTGATGCATGAATTCTTAAAATTATTCAAAAGAAAATACATTTCCATCCTTTTTTAAAGCAAGATCCTGGACAGAAATTACACTTCTACCACAAGGTTGACGTTGAAACGAGACAAAATTAAAACCAAAAAGTTCTTTTCTTTCATCAATAATGATGGCAGCTGGTGTCTAATGGAGTTTTTCTGGGGTATTTAACATTGAGTAGATTTATTTGATAAAAAATGTTGGCGGACGTCGAGGGTGGCGCTTTTTCGGGGGGTCATCTTGACGGGGTTTGCCTGCAATTAAATGTCCATTATTCTTCAAGAATAAGGAACATGACTTTTTCTTTTGAACGAAACCTCGTATTTCTTTGTCATGTGCTAACTCTTTTTTTCCTCGACTTACAGCATTTTGGTATGAAGGAGATGAACTTCTACACCGTTTTGTTTGGCGTGAGCCGGGCCTTGGGCGTGATGTCTTCGCTGGTGTGGGACAGAGCCCTGGGACTGCCGCTGGAGCGTCCCAAGTCCATGTCTACCGAAGGCCTGAAGCGGCTAGTGAAGGCCGCCTAAAAAGCGCGTCGGACGCAGCGTCTGCTTGAGTTGCTATACGAACTTTGATTCCTCGCTGCTGTTACAAAAGTTTCGTTCTCTGTCCCTCGCGATGCTAGTCGCGAACTCTAGATCTAAGCAATACACGTCGAAGACGGAATCGAGGAAGCGGTGTTTTAGTTGAAAAGTATTACGCTCCCAACGAAATCGTAATTTAAGAATATCTTATTTCCAACGTGGGGTTGGGTGGCGAATTCCGACTCGGGAATGGTGTCTTTTCGAGAACCGTTTTTTTTTTTTTTTTTTGTGTTTTGCAGCTGATGCAAGATTTTTGCTTTTTTTTTGACGTCCGTGGAATCTCTTGATGGGGTTTTTGTGTCTCGAGGTGGTCGTTGGAGGGAAGTTCACAGGAATGACGGTGAAAAAGACAGTACACCTACACGATTGTTTCCCCGTTTTTTTACGTTTAGCCGACGATGTCTTAGGGTTGATCTGCCTCTTCACGGTTGTCCCACGGGTTTCCATTTTCTGTGAGCTTTTCTTTCCTTTTGAAACGCATTCTGTGAGTAACACCAGAGGAAAAGTTGGAAATGAATAGATTCATGTTTAGAAATGCCGATTTGTTCATTCACGGTTGTCCCACGGGTTTCCATTTTCTGTGAGCTTTTCTTTCCTTTTGAAACGCATTCTGTGAGTAACACCAGAGGAAAAGTTGGAAATGAATAGATTCATGTTTAGAAATGCCGATTTGTTCTTTGTCTTTTACGATAGATTCCTCATTTTGCCGAATATTAACCCCGACATTATGATTGGGACTCACCTCAAATGTGACGCTAAGTGGGATTAGACAACTTTTGCGAGTATTTCTTTTTCTTTCGGAACGAAAAAGTTTCTGGTTGTATTCTGTTTATTCTCAAATCATTTATTAGTCAAGAACAACATTCAAGAAGTCGGAAAAATATTTTGCTGAATACCGTTTCTTATGCTACAATGGTGAACATTATTGCATTAGATTGATAAGTTGTTCATTAAATTTGCTTCTGCATCACTTACGGGAAGCAGTAAATCTGATTTGCTGTCGAGAAAACAGTGAAGTCGGGGAAGAATTTTTTACACCGAATGTGTAGATTTAAAAAAAGATACTGTTATGACGTACTGATTTTAAAGATTGCAAGCTGTTGTCTAACCCTACTTGGCTTCATTCTACGACCTTCATCTTCGAAGAATTTTAAGTGAACCTAATGTCTTAATTACTCGTGTACCGTCTGCTTTTCTTTTTCCTTTCAAAATTTGGCATGAAAGAGGAGGGTGTGTGCCATGCATGGACCGTTTCTTCACGTTCATAAGAAATTCAATTGTTTTCCATTGAAATCGGGTGGTACACGAGTAAATATGGAAGGTTGTTAGTACGTTACATGCTAGTTACAGTACTCGTAGCGTGTGACTAGTGCGACAGGTGCTCAAGTTAGTAGAGTCTGAAGGCTAGGTTTATGACATCAACCTCGCAGTTACAAACTCGTACGAAAAGAAAAAGTCCACTACTCGTAATGGATGCTAGTCAAACATAGCAGGCGGTTCTTAAAGCGCAGCTTAGATCATGTCCTCCGAATAGGTTGGAGACTGGAAACGACGCGTAGACCAGTGACAGGCGACACTGTGGAATATCTGAGACTCGTCACCCTAGACCCTGACGGTGTGACGAACGACTACAGTGTTTTCTACAGTGAAAGCTACTCTGTGCCAGTGTTGTATTTATCGCGTTACAGTGATTCTGGTGAGCTCGTCGCACCTTCCGGTTGTGAAGACTGTTTGACCCCGACTGACCATCCGATATCCGGTGCGCCGGTTTTGTTTTTCCATCCGTGCCGCACGAGTGAATGGGCGGTTCTCACGCCGAAGTCGGATGCGGGATTGAAGTATATTCCTTCGTGGATGAGTGTTGTTGGACAATTCCTTGGATTGCGTGTCCCGCTGTCGTTGTTCGAAAGAGGGGACACATTTTGAAGTCGTGCCATGGACGCTACGGTGCCCGTATTGATGATGTTTATGACGTTCGCTAGCTTTACAATCGTGGAAGCGTCTCGGGGAGACACTTCTGGATTTTTCAAGAACTGTGTTCAAAGATGTCAGACTTTCAACTGTTCGAATGGTGAGTGGTTCTAGTGCATGCTTTGAACTTTTTTTTTGCATCCTCGTGAACTTGGTCGAAGAAAAACTACTGTGTACATGTACTGTACTGATGTATAACAGTAACGAGGGTTGTTGGTTCATGACTTCAGTGTCATAATTTTTTGAGTATCATAGAATGATAGAGATGGACGTAATTTTTGAAGTGTTGCTCACCCATGTTGAAGTGTAGTTTGAGAGTTGAATTTGCGCTCTTGTCAATTGAAGAAAATGAAGCTTTGAATGTTTCATGAATTATTAAGACTCAGTCCAACTGGTTCCGAATGTTTTAATTATTGAAAACACTTTGAGTGAAAATTTTGCTGTGTATCCACCCCGTTACGATGAGAAAATTTTTTCCGGAATTCTTTGTTGTTTTGGAGCGTGTAAAGTTGTATTCGAACAGCTGGACTTAACACTACTGATACAGAAACTCGTGCACACAAGCAATTTAATTTCAAGGTAAAATATTGGTACTGTATAGCTTTTGAACACTCCATCGTAAATGACCATTTAGAGTATTTTTGCTTTTTTGAATCGTTGAAATAACGAGTGCTTTGCTTGTGATTAATCTTATAATCGTGACCGTCAGTAAAACCTGTCTCATTTATTATTTTTTAACAGAGTTCGTATTGACCGAATTCTATGAGCGAGTTGGTTAAGTGATGGTCTAAAATCCGACCCTAACGCATCTTCTTACGTTCATACTAACGTACACCTTTTGCAGGCGTCAAAAGTTCGTTTTTCGGCCCATGTAAGGAGTCAAAATACCTTTCCATAGAGTGCGATATTATTTGATGTAGCAGTGAATGTGCAATAATTTCTCGTTATTCCCTTGCTGAATAGTACGTCTGACAAATTCTTATCGTCATTTTCTGCAGTGGCCGTTCGCAAGATTCCTTGGGATTCAGGAACCTGCTTCGACCTTGTTCTCGATGCTCAACGGAATTGCTCATGTGTTCGGATTGTCAGCCTTGTTGAGACAAGTTAAAAGTGAGGCGCCGTTTAGAGGCTGGTGGATTGCAAATGGATTGATCATGATTCTATGTTGGGTCTTCTCGACCATATTTCACACCCGTGATACGCCATTTACGGAAAAGCTGGATTACGCAGGGGGAATGATTGCGAACGTGGCTGCGCTTACGGCCGTCACGGTTCGTCTTGTGGGCATTGAGAGACTTACTAGGTTAGTGCAGTACATAATTTTTTTTTATCAATTCCTTATTTCATCAGGAAAAGAGGAATACAGTAGGATTCGTCACTCCTACTTTTTTGCGCTATTATGATATAATCTATTCTAAGACGATCAGCTTCTAAAACGATTTTTTTAACTAGCAATTAAGGTGAATTGAATACAATGCACAGTTTCGTTCATGTGATAATACAGGAACTTAATTTTTTAAATTTTAGAATTACTCCATAGGTTCACAGTACTGTTCAGTATTTCCCCCAACAGTGCTTTGGAACAACAATGCAAAGAAAGGCTAACTTCGGGTGAAATCAACCTTTCCAGCATTAAGACTCACGTCTCTTTGTAATTACTGTATTTAGCTCGAAAAAGTTCGATAGATATTTACGGTACAGTACTCCCATTTGCTGTTGGACTGTCAGGTATGTTCATCTGGTTCCGTTAGTGCTTTAACCTTATTCTTGGTAGTACAGTATATAGATGTCAAAAATTATTACATTCAATGTTAGCTCGAGAGAAACCCTCACTTGTTCCAAAAATTCAAGAAATATCTTCCCAATTATATAGAATACCATATATCCATTTATTGAATGCATTATATCCATGAACAGTATCCTTGACGATTTTCGTGACATCCGTAATTTCTTGCGCGTCTCGCCATTGGCTAAATCGTTGTTCTCCATTGCAGAACGGGAACCATGATCATGCTTGGTGCTGGATGTTCATTCGTTTACCGTCACCTGAAGTTTCTATTTGGTGTGAGCTTTGATTATGGATATAATATGAAGGTCCATCTTGCCATTGGTGAGTCTTGGAATTTATCTTCGTGGGGTTAATTGATTTTGACAACTCTTGCTGAAATTTGAAGGCGGATTTCATGTGATTGGATGGTTGTGCTGGGCGTTTCTGAATCGTAGTACTTGTCCTTACGCTTGGAAAGGCGCCGCAGTTAATTTTCTCATGGCTGCAACCATGGCTCTCGAGCTGCTGGACTTTCCACCCTTTCTGTGGACGCTTGACGCCCATGCGCTGTGGCATTTATCTACAATCCCTCTGATTCCTCTGTGGTATTCGTGAGTGTCGATCAAATTTACAACTGATTTTCTCAATATTGACAGCACTTTTTTTAAGATTTGTAATCGATGACTGCAGCTTTCTCCAGAAGCAAAAAGAACTGGAAATCGAAACAATCCTGAAGAAGTTCTTATGATTTTTCTTCGCGATTTGGTCGCGTGAGTATATTAAATAATGCGTGTTGGAATAAACGAGCAATGAAAGATAATTGGAAAACCTTTCATTTCTGAGGTCACAGACAATAGCGAGCAAGACAACGACAGAAGGAACGAAATGAATAGTTTAAAAAAAAGATTATCACAGCCTTCGCCGATCAACGATTGGAAATTATGATTGAGAACTATAAATTACATCTCTTCTTTGGACACAGAACAACGCGGTAAGGAGTGAAATTAATGTCACACCTATTCCAGATATTAAAATACCTACTTCTTGCTCAGTCGATGGAAGGATGAATATTCTTGCCGTTGGAATGCCGGAGTAACTCTCAGTCCAGGTGGAATAATTGTTCTGATTCCAGTCATAACCTGTTGACAGAATCAAGTTAACACCTGCTGAGCGAAAGGAAAATAAAGTTTTGTTCACCTTTAATTTCGAATGCTGGGCTCATTGCGAGGTGAAAAGCGACATTCGACGAAATGCAGGAGTTCCTGTCGTTCGGGTACATGAACCAGTCGTATTCGTGCATCTGTAGACAGTTAGCACATATACACAACAACTTTTCAACGTTTGAATAATCGAAAAAATTCGAAGTAAAGTATCCTAGAATCTCAAAAATTTAAACGAACAATGCACAACGTTCAGATAATGTAAACTGAACAGTAATTTGTTCATACTTGGCAATACTGCAAAAATTAGTCAACTCTCATTCAAACTACAGTATTTTTCTTCCGTCCGTAAGAGTAACTCACCACGTCATTTTCGCTCTGCTTGCATTCTTTCTGCGAAACATTCGGAACTTCACTTCCCAGAATCGACACAAGTAATCGTCGTGTGAAGTTCACAACATCGTAAACAAATCCTGCCAAATTTCCCACAGATGTATACAAGGGAAATGGTACGCCAGGCATCAATCTGGGTCGATAACGTTGCGATGAAATGTTGAAGAATAAGCTACAATTGGAATCGCACAAATAGCAATCCAACATGGCGGCCATCTGTAATCAAAGGCGATAATAAGAACCTGTGGCTGACTGACGAACATTTCCAAAAAGATACCTTATCTCGGTTGGGGGACGCAGGAGGTGCTACTCCGAGAAGATTGGCTAGACCTTTCGCCACAATTGTGGATACTGTTTCCAGTCTGTTCAACAAGTCCTCATGAACTGTATCAGTACCACACGAGTAATTCAAAGTTGCTTCGGGTGTTTCCTTAAAGCTGTGGTAGTACCTAAAATTCATTCAAATGAAATTTTCGCTTTTTCTCACCATGAAAGGATTTATTTAAAAAAAAATTTTAATTAAAGGATGTGGCAGGGACAAAAAAGATGAATTCTATGCCATTGTAATTAATTTATAGGAAATACTCTGGAAACACTAAAATATATCGCGAAACAATGAAAAATTCCTGAAGACTTCAGCGTCATTCACAGGAACACAAAGAATGCATTAATATTTTTAAGAGCTTTTAGGGAAGTTCAAGGCAACTGTCTGTTGGCACAATAGCACTTGAGACATCATCTGAAAGTTGAGTAAGTTTCGAAGTCTAATACAGGGCCAAAAGTTGAAAAAGCTTGAGAAAAGCAATTACGTTTCTCGTAAACTCTCGGTAACTGCTTCAAGCTAATACCTTTTTAATAACGTGAAAAGAAATATCAAAACAGAAATTGTATTACTGAACATTTGAAAGGAAAAGGAATGAACCTTATTCAACTTTCAAATGATATTCAATTTTTAAATAGCTTTTTTAACCTTTCATTTAACTTTTTCTTCCTGAATTTGTCAGCTAAGTTGTTCCCAAGAAATCACGAGAAAAATATTCTACTTTTCTCATCCACTTGGTACATTGCTTCTGTTTCGGTCACATCTTCTACTTACTGATTGACAAACCGGTCATTGTAACCGGAAAGAACAACCCCAGCAATTTTCTTGTTGTTCTTCAAGAAAGTGTGCAATGAACTAGGAGGAAGACCGGATGTTCCACTACTAGCTTCCTCGACAACCAAACCCGAGCCTGTCGCAGCATCTTTCAGTTTAGTTTTCAGCTCACTGGTCTGCGTAGTGTAGAAGACACGCGTGAGAATGATTAACAAATCTTACAGACGGAACTTGAAAACTCACTTTCTGATTAACTGAGGCGTCGCTTTGAGAAGTTGGCTCGAAATGGACAAATAATTTCTTGGGATCCCCCGTCCCGACCTGGTCCAGTTCAATCCAACGACCGATATGATTTATCTTCATGAGAGCCATTGCATTCATCGACGGATCAGTGCTCGCAACGGACGGAAAGGCGTTGTTCTCCATGTCATACACCATCTTACTGGACCCGATATACTCCGTCGATTCCTTCAATGTAAAACTTGATTTCAGTGAATTGATTCGATTATTCAAATTCTTGGGGAAAAATTAAATCCGCCAGAAATTAAGAACGAAAGATTCTTCACCGTTTGCTTAACAGGTAACATGAAGGAAAACAAATCAGTCACGTGATCTTATGGACTCCCATCAAACTTAAATTCAAGTACAGTACTGTACATTATCTTATACATACTACATGTACTGAAAAATACCTGAAAATGAATTATGATCCTTCTAGCTATCTAGCAGTTCGATTGACTTGAAAAATTTAAAATGCCTGCCACACTCATGAAACAGCAATAGCGATCGAATTGACGATGAAAAATCGTGTTCGAGATAGAAAATTTATATTCAAATCAATATTAAACGAACTGAAGTTGTTCAACGAATAAAAAAAAAGTTATCAAATAAGTAGTTCAGTCGCTGGATTATTACTTCGCTTGCGATTCATTCCTGGCATACTACAGTATTTCCAGAAAGAATCAAGCGTTCCAGATGACGCTATGATAATTCATTCGAAATTTACATTTGTACGCTCAAGGATGTACACTTGCGTTGCACAATTCAATAAATTGAGAAAGAGGCAATGGACATTCAAGCAAAAACTTTGCCGAATGGTTAAAGTCGGAAGAAAAGCAAGTCGGAACAAAAGAAAAAGCTGCTTTACCCCATTGAAGAGCATCAAATGGACGAACTCGTTCAGTTTCTCCAACTCTGTTCGGATAGAACTCAGGGATTCGGCAATCGCCATAAAGCTAACAATCGAAGTCACGACTGAGTCGGAAGCCGGACCCACGTGCTCGAACATGGCAGTCGTATCCATCCGAGCAGCGATTACTGTCACTGATCCATCTGGATATACGAACGGCTGCGCTTTGGCAACGATAGGGGAATGAATGTTGAGTGACTCCAGCGCATGACATTGATTCGCTAAAGAAGAAAAACCATGTCAAATACGTTGATCGACAAAGCCACTTGCTAATCAATGGAAATTTTTGGGACACTTCAAAAGCCTCGTCACGGTTCAAAGACTTGATTTGATTTATTAAATACAGGCGGACTCTCTCCATTGATCTTGTGTACAATGATTTCCTCTGTACTGTATAACACATTTTTTTGGTTATAGGATTCCCTACCCATTTTTTAGGGATTCTTCACGAAGACTTTTTTCTGATCCCTGGAGTTTCGTTGCAAACAGAGTTCACCTGTAATGAATAAACCCAAGAATCCCCTTAGCTGAATATTTCTCGGAGTTGATTGACAAAGGAATTCATAAAATACTCACAAGCCCTTCCAATGCTATTTTATGCAGCTGAAACAGACAAATAGCGCACACTAATCTACCTTAGCATCCAAAACAATAGAACATATAATACGATCTAACACTTGACGAAAATATTTCGAAGAAAAATTTACTAACAGAACCAAAATCTAAATTAAACTCCCAACCGAATTGATAACTGACAGAATCCAACTTAATATAAACTTCATGCTTCGGATGGCGATTGGCAGATGGATACATGGATGCGAAATCACGTCTGTGACGTGAAAACAAGTGCCAAGCGATTGCTCCATACTTAGTACAATATGATCTAAATTGTCGCTGTTTCGAAGTAGACCGATTTTTGAACACAGAAATTAGTATAGAATTTAAGACTCACCAGTTCGTGGAGATAATATAAAGGGAGCATCTGTTCGACGCAAGCAAGTCGGCGTATCTTTGGCAGCGTACATTCGGCTGGTGAATTCGATCGCACACAAAGGACCAATGCTATTTTCCTTGTATGTCACCGGTTTGTTGAACTTTTCAAAGCACTAAAATTCCCAGAAATATAAACATCAACCGCTTGGCCTAAAATCAATTTTCGTGCGGTAACATCATGAAAAAAATACTGCAGAGAAAAGGCAGTTTCAAAAATGCTCGACGGAATGAAAAAAACAAATACGAGAGTAACTTCGAGAACGGACCTCATGTATCAGTTGACTTCGACTAGAGTTATCCTGCATAATAGCGATGGGGATTTTCCAATTCCGCCACGAAACGCCCGTACCATTGACAATCCACTTGTGTCCATAATACGGACTACCGGGTTCATATAAACCTGTAAAAAGGGGTTTACATTATAGTTATATTGTTTCTTCAAACTATTTCTTCGTCGAGTGATTCAATCGCTTACCTGACCGGAAGTTCGGACTAGCGTCGTCTTCGGTATACCCTGAGATCCCACCATTTCTTTCACTCTCACCATGAACTTGAAAAAATAATAAGCCGTTGACTCGCTTGGAGCTGCCTAACTTATCGACCAGATCTCTAAAAAAGAAGCATATACAAAAGCATGTAAATAGGAACCGTTAACAATCAATCACCAAGGAAATGGAAAAATCCGTGAATACAAAATTTCAGAAATATTATTCTGTGAAACAGGGGAACACCTTACTTGAACTTCTGTAGGATATTGCTTATTTGAACTTTTTCGTCCGATTCCATCATGCTAGAATGTTCAGAATAGTTACTTCTCTCAAATTTTAGGTGTTCGGAAAGATTTCCCTCGCTTAAAATCGACACCTCGAACAATTGAACGATACCAACCCCGAAACGAAGTACAGTACTTTACAAAAAAGTACATCAAATAGTCCTCACGCAGTACTCAACTTCTGAAAAATGGTTCGGGGAAAATAAAAAGTTTGTCTTGGTTCGGAATAACCAACAGGAAGAAAAAATAAGAAAATCGGACAAGATCTACAATTCGTCAATTCATTGCAATTATCGCTGGACTTACGTCGATACGAGATGCCAGTCCATCGCAACAGAATAAGGTGGGGATGGGCCAGAATACAATATCCAATCCACGTCCTTTTCAAGATTATCCTCACTCACGACGTGCACTACTCCAACATTTCCGCGGCGCTGGGCTAAAAACGATGAGTTCACAAGAGAGGTAACGATTCATATTAAGGAAAAGTGAGGTGTCGAAAATTATAGGGAAAACTCACAGCCACATCCGGCTTCATTTGTCCCGTTCAACTTCCTGAAACACGTCAAGTTCACTGCTAATGGTTGATACACCATCCACTCAACTTTGTCAAGGTTGTCTTCGGCTCCTGTAATCCGAACGGAAATTTCGCAACAAAAATGAATAATATAATAAGCTTTTCAATTTCCACAACTTACCACAAATCAGAAGCATTGAGAGACGGAAGAGCAAGATGGAAACAAAGGTCAAGGCCATATTCCAATACACCTCTGAGCAACTGGGTCACCTTTAATTAAGTAACACGAATTGCGCGGTTATCACAAGACGTTCTGGAACATCTAAAACACTTGAAGACATTAAACACTTCACCCTCGACATGTACTGCGTTTCCCAAAAAAAAAAAACTTTTCACCGCCAATTTTTCGAAATTTTTCTCAACAGAACCCTTACTAGAAAAATCTAAATAAACCTCGAACTCGTATTCAATGTACGGTTATGCAGTTCAAAATTTAAATATATTACAAGATAGATTGAAGACAGGGCTATTTGTATATAGAGTGCGGAAGAACCGATATTTTGGTTCAGTTTGAAAACGATTGTGACATGCTTCACAACTTTAGAACGTTTCTGCATCACCATACTGAGAGAAATTTAATACTATTACAAAGGTTATCCTTTTTTTCTGGGAAACACAGCGTCCAATCACAATCTCAACATGCCTTGAATTTTCACGGTTTCACGATGTTTTTGACATTTGGCAATAAAAGCCTCCAGTGAATGTGAAAATTTGTCAATCAACCAACAGAGCACAGCAGTTTAAAATACACGTTTATGGTATCAAAGACACCTCTGTTTCAATCCATCATCAACGAATCAGAAGCGATCCCTTAATCTCCCAAGCGAAAAGTGAGTAGGAGACAAATTAAGCGCCAACTGCAGCAAGGATAGAAAAAATAATAATAATCCGCTACGAAACCAGAGCAAATCCACTTATGAGGACCTGGCAACACACTGTCTGCGTACTCATCAGAATTGCGGCAAAACTCGAAAATCTTTTGACAGTTGCAACGCTCGCGGCTGACAAAATAAAACCCTATGATTTCGTTGCGGGAACGCACGAACTGGAACATCCATACTTCGTCCACTAAAATGGACAAGCGAGTCAAATCATCACTGCTCCCGCTCAGACCAAGTTATATGTGAAACAGGGGAATCTAGAATGCTGGATGAAGGTTTGCAGGCACCGTCATGACCACTGTGACTTTCCGTGTTTATGACGCCCATTCGGTCAATTCTTGCAAGTCGTCATCCATATCTTCCTTTTGCGGACGCGGTTCTTCACGAATTGAAGTCAATCAGTACACGAAGCAACCAACCGTAAACTCGATAACTCACTGGCTCTACTGGCTCCGGATGCAACAGGAACGGCGGTTGGTGGAGTAGGAAGTGCGGCAGTCGGAGCTGGTTCCAACAAACGTTGATCAAGCTCTTCTTGTTCAAGTTCCTCCAATTCACGCTCCAACTCGTCCTGAAAAGAAAAGCCAACCTAAATCGAACCTGATTCACATAAACACTGAACAGATTAGAATTACTTCGTCATAATCGGCGCTGAACGCAGCCGGACTGGAAATCGCCTCGGTTATCTCTTTAGCAAGCTCTTGTTGCTCAGCAACGTCGTCCATCATGTCGTGAACCTTATCAACATCCCTGAAAATGAATGGTTAGACTCAAAAATACGAATTTCGGAAGAATAATGGCAATCATCACGAACATGTGCTGATGGGCAGCCTTCATCGCCTTTGCGGCAGCATTCATGGTTTGAAGCACAGCAGTATTCGTATTTGCACTTTCGAGAGCTTCGCGCTGCATCTCCAAGGTGGATAGAGTTCCATCAATTTGAAGAAGTTGTTTCTCATACCGCTTCTTCCTCTTGAGCGCTTGCAGAGCAACTGATTAACGAACGAAGTATACAGAATAATACAATATCGGCAAAAACAGTTAGGTCATCTCATACTGACGACGCTTGTTCTTTGTTCCATGCTTTTTAGCTTGCGAAATCTCTTGCTCAATTTTCCCTTCTAAATATTCCTGCTTCTTCATGAGCATTTCTTCGGTTTCTCGAAGTCCATTGATTGCTTCAGCCGGAGTGGGGGCTTCTCCTTTTTTGCCTCGTCCGAACATGCGCTCAAGTAGACTCATCTTGGCTTTAATCTAACGTCGGCCGAAGTTCGAAATTTTGTGCCACAAAACCAGCCGGGTCACTCACTCAGAAAACTCCACCCACTCAACTCCTGGGATATTCAATGAAAGTATAAAACTTCCTACATTCAGTAAGGACTCCGCCTTACAATTCACGCTCAACATGCGTCAAACGATCAGAAAATACTGTATACATAACTTCGAAGGCACACTACTGTACAGACACAAGATCAATTCGCACACTCGCTTTTAATTCAGCACTGGAACTTCCCAACTCACGATGTACCAACTCACATTTGACATAACCACGAATAAAATCGACGAAACGTCTCTGAATGAATGCCATTTTCCATAACCACTGCGAGTGGTGGAACCATCGGATTCAGACGAGTGAGTAATACATTTCGGTTGCGTCACATACCTAATGTACACAGTCAACCTAGAAAAGTTCTCGGGGATCTCAGAGGGGAATTTTTGTTAACACTGGTGGGGCACAAGGGCATACAGTACGGTACAACACTGACTTGTAAGTTATGATCTATCCATGTATGTTTGCATTCTAAAACGGACGTCCATGTCTGCATAAAAGCAAGCACAGTGCAGAAGTTATGCTTAAATTGTATTCAATACTTGTCACCGTAATGCAAAAATATGGCAATTTGAGTTATGAACAGCAATGTAAGGCTATTCTCCATGGAAGGAGGCACTGAAGTATTATTTTGTCTTTACCAAAAAAATGTATAGTACTGTACTTGCATTTGCCAAGACCATATGCGAGCCTTATACTACTGTGAAGCACTGTAATACGTCAAGTAAATTAATTATTCAAGAGAGAAAAAATCATAAATATGGCCAAGTTTACTGTCAATATTCCAACTCGCCTTCAAGGGCATCAGATTGAATGGTCGAGTCAGGGAACTTAATTAAAAACAATCCACGTTAGATAATGTGTTTTTCACAATGTCGGGATTATGCTCATTTTTCTGGATATTATCGATGGATATTTATCCACGCTTCAACGCAACGCAATATAGCAACTACTGTACTTCGAATTAAAAAAAAAATCACTCATTTCTACCACGCTATATTTCACACACCAGGAAAAACATTAATTCGGCTCAACAGAAAGCACCACAATTTGATCATAAGACAATGCAGGCATTCAAAAACAATAGTACAACTGCTGGAAGCTTGTGTTCAGCACAGTACATCAAGGACGTAACAGTCGGAACCATCATGAATTGCACGGTCAATTCAAATTGAAAAAAGAAAAACTTTTCTCACAACATGAACAGCACCAGCAGCACGCAAATAAGGCAAGACAATTCAGTGATACAGGCACAGGATGTAAGATTCTCGTACATCAACTCTCTTGGCAGCGAATGCTCACGAAAATTGCCGTAAATTAAGAGAACAGCTGGATGGTTAGTTTTTCTTTCTTAATTACCACTCTCGCCAGGCAAATGCGAGTATATTGGACGGGTTAGATAGATTGCTAAGACACCTCTCAAAAAAAGCTGTCGAAGACACCCGACGAGTAATGAGGCCATTTCCGCTCCTGAATTTTTACGATTCATCTAAAATTTTCAATAAATTTGTTCGAGCAAACAGTATTTCAAGAATAATTGATCTTTGTCAAATCAACGAAGAAACAAAGGGACATGAATTAGGGCTGCCTACTTACATCACGTCTTGACAGTACTGTATTTCATTCAAGGCGCGTGGAAGGAATAAAAGTTGTCACACAACGATAGAAACGGGAAGACCAACAGAAGCATTTTTGTTACCTAATCCTAAACTGTACACCAGGTCAATGTATTTTGGCACCACCAAAAGAATACTTTCACGGGAATATTGTCCTGAGCGCTGAATGCCAAACGTTTCACAGGTTTAAAAAACATACAAAAGAAAAAAAAAAGCCACACTGGGTTCTAGTGAGCGACTAGCTCTCAACGGTGCGAATGAATAAGATTCCTCCCACTCAAAACACAATTGCAACTGAATTCCATAACCGAGATTCCCAAAAAATATGACCCAATCAAGACAAAAAAGACTTCGGGAAGATTTTACTGAATTCCCTCGAGTCTACTCAGTATTACGGTAGCCCAAATTCGGGTATGAGCTTCAGTCAAAATAATTTATAAATGTATTCAAATGCTGCGTAGTGGAAATTTAATTATCGAAACCAGAATATCGAAAGTACTGTACTAAAACTCTTGAAAATAAAATAAAGGGTACAAAAACTGAAAATAGTGAATGGATTACAACTAAATTCGAGTACATATTGATTGTTCCAAAATTGTGGCCCATAATCTGAAAATAAGCCCGAGTACATAATTTTTACCACAGTATGACTTATCTCATTTCTGGGGAAATTACGCATTCATGGTCTTATACGTTATCTATCAGTGGGATGATTACTGCCCAATCACTCAGATTTCAAACAATCCTCATGAGGTTCTCAGAAGATATATCTGAACGCGACGAATCCATTAACAGCCAGCAGGGCAATTAATGCGGAAGCAGACAAACCACCGGCACGAGCGGCTCCGTTGCAATAATCTCCAGTGCAAGTGCATTGATATCCTCGCGGCACTTTGGTATTGAAGACTTTCTCCAAGAAATCAGCGGAAGATCCTAACATTTCATCACAACCCAGGCTATCTGACGAACCCGGGGGAGCGCAGCCCTTGTACTTCAGATCCTCTGAAACAGAAGTGCAACTTATTCAGTTTGAAAAAAAAAAATATATATATATATATATGAAAATAGCCCCATATTCTGTCAATAATACGTTTGTAGTCGTGTCAAAAGGTATATCTTGCTCTTGTCCACGAGTTCCAACGCGTGAATACCTGGTACTGTACTTGGATGAATCCTCCACTTTGGTCGAATAAATCGACGCAGTTAGTTCAAATACAGTAGAAAACTACCTTTTCGTCGAGGCTTGAACCTAGACTTAATTGAAACGAAGTACAATAAATCTATAAAGGTTCTCACCCATATTTTTGTCCAAGAACACAGTCAAGCACCGGGAGATTACTTTCGCACATTCTGTTGTTTGCGGTTTCTCGCAACTCTCTTTCCCCCAACAGTTCATGCAGTTGATAGCATCTAGTAAAAGTAGAAGAAAAATTTACATCATGCCACAGTTCCTGTCCTCAAATTAAATCCAGAACATACTGGCATGGTCGAAGAAAGACAAAAAGCCGACAAAAATTACGACGGTAGCAAACAACGACTTCATTCTTGAGTAGGAGGTAGACCTTTCAATGTCACAACTTGGAAACACAACCTAAAAGATACATCAGGAACATTTTAATGAAAATTTGAATCCACCACAGCACTGCATTTCGAACAAAATAAAAACGGCTTCAAATTTTTTCCCCGATGAAATCCTGTTCATTATTTGCGGAATATCAATAGCACCTGAGATCAATGACGTCCATTTTTCATGGCATTCATAAAAATCATGACAAGCAATAGAATAAAAAAATCCCCGTAGGATTCAAATAATGCCCTACGACTTGTAGAACTTCAATTGTTTCTGTACGTCTGACATCGAAATTTTCCCGAATTTTTCATCTTCCGACTTCATGAGTCGGTAGATTTCTTGAAGTTGTTCCTTTTCAATCCTGCAAAATGGAAAGAGAATCTGTTTAATACCGAGTCGGTAATCCGAAAATACGAGTGCCGACATACTGCTTCTCCTGGCGTTTCTCTGTCTCGGTCATTTCTTCAGCTTTTGCAACAGCTTTAACCGGTCGTTTCCGCACATCTTTGCGAACACTTTTGTCCTTTGGCACCTCGTCCTTTTCCTTATTCTGACTCAACCAGAATTGTTGAAAAACATTAAGCATGAAAATTTTTCGCGGACAGAATCATTCCTGACGCTTACTGTATCTGAAAGGCATACACCTGAATCACGAATTGCAGATCGAGTCTTCATTCCTCGGGTGAGTAATGCAGCCGCTCCAAACGCAGCAAAAGAGGACAGAACACCGAAGAGATACACTAAAGAAGTGTTGAATGAGAAGAAATCTACCCAAAACCACATCTTCGACCATCAATTCTGGGAAAAAGGAATAAAAATCATGAGAGTCATCTTCGAGACACGAAGTTACAGAACAACTGCGAACAACAAAGTTCACTGTCGAAGCGAAGGGTTCACAATACTTAATTTAGCCTCAGATTCTCTGTTTCTCACACTGACGGCAGGATTTCCGTGTATGTAAAAACGCAATGGCTTCGATGACCACTCGTACCCATACGATTCCACTCCAATGCGCTTGCACGTTACAATCTTTTCTTTGGGAACATCATCGCCGGGTTCTATCCAAACCGATTCACTTACACTAAGGTCAACCGCATTAAATTCTTTTTTCGTGAAAGCATATGAACAACATAGTTTGGAAGGGCCATCACAAAGTTTTGCTTGCTTCAGTTCTTTCCGAAACTTCCCAGGAAGCGGTTTCAACGAGTTAAATCGCATGCTTCGCATGAAAGAAAATCCTGCTACAGGCTCCACTGCGCGAATCAACACTGCCGCTCCATCACCTGGACAGAAACGTGTTTTTAACGACGCCACAAAAACTGCCGAACTGTCTTAAATCTCACCACCACTCGAAATGTTGAAGCAAAAATATTTCCCGTAGATGTGATACACATACGTCGTACCGGGTGCCATGAACATGGGCTTGGTTCTGTCGGTTTTTTTACTACCGTAAGAGTGCGAACAGCGATCATGAATGCCCAGATAGCCTTCTGTCTCAACGATGACACCCCTGAGAAGATCACCGTCAGGTAGCTTCCTAACCAGAACTTTTCCAAGTAATCCACGCGCTACATCTTCGCAGTTTTGGGCATAAAATTCAAGGCCAAGACGCTCCATGGCAACCGAGAATTTACCCCCTGACGCTCTACCACAGTAATTTTCACATCGTCAACCAAGTCGCCGCGGCCTTGCTCTCACACTCAGAAAATTCAAGAATCGATACCAATTACGAACTTCAAAGCATGGTGGATTTCGGCACCCTACTAACAAAACTTTCCTTTTGGTCTGCCATCAAAGTTCAGGCCACCAAGGGTGGCTTAAACTGGAGAAACGCTAGGTGTCGTTGCTTCAGCATTTACAGGGTGAGATTGATGAAAGGCAGGTGGAGAGCTTGAACACACTATTAATGCAAGGTGAAACATGCTGCTAGCATATACGCAACCAGCTGTCTCTTACCCAAGGAAATCTCCGAAGAAATGTGTGTCTACCTCAAGCATGCTCAATTTTAGAGCCATCATGGAATATTTGCGGCACTGCACCGTGGGTACAATAACTCGGTACGACAAGCAAAATTATTTGGTACGCTGTGCCGCCCACACCGGTCGAACCCTGTTTTGTATGTATAAGAAAGAAAGAAAAAAAAACTGTGACAGAATGAAGTTTCAATTTTTTAATGCTGTTGTACGATTTCTTTGCATGATGTTTTAATGGAATTTGCAAGCATTCTACATCAGAATCAAAAATTGTTGGATGATAATCCCTCGTCTTACGAAAATACTGTATATATATATTACATGCACTAATTAAATTGAATTACTGCTGCATGCTTAGGGCAGGCCCATTAAAGGAATCATTACAGTACATTTAAACTAATGCAACAAATTTTCTCAATTATACAGAGATCAATATTTCTGGATGAACACAGTGAGGCATAGACTGCATAGTTCAGCATCTCGTTGACCACAAAACGCAACATTTTCCCTAAATTTCGCTGATTTGAGCAAAAGAATCTTTCTGGAATAACTTTTCAAGAACACCGCAAAACTTAAGGTCCAGTTCACCGAAAGGAAGCATGGAAATGAGTCATGTTATTCCTATCCTCACCTCTTTTCCAAATCAATCCTTAGTGAAGAGGTTAATTCCTCGGAAATGTTCATGCTGACATTCCTACTTTCACAAAATACGCCAGAAGATTAATCGAAGAAAATCTTTGGTCAAGCCACCTTCAATGAGCAACTGTTCTTGTGTTTAAAATAACGAGGATGATATTTACATAGTACAGCGCTTCCAACAAATCCCACTACTCATTATGTACAGGAAATCAGGAATCTTACAACGGATGCATTGTTTCTTCATGATTTTCTCACAGCAGCAGAAGGTCTCGATGGAAAACAATGAGATCCGAGCTCATATTTCATTGCTTCGAAAATAGATATTATCAGAGCCAAAAATTCCGTTCGTTCAGGTACGTCAGGGAAAATACATGAAATGACGCTCCTTGCAAATCATTGCTGGCATCCCTCTCACTTTCACTAAAAATCAAATACAGTATTTTGGTCAATAATTCAAGGCCATATCCCTTTACAGGTTATCACGAAAGCGTTGTCGGAAAAGTTTCAAGGCCAGCTCTTTTGTTATTTGCATACACTATCCATGTTTCTCTCGTACAAAAATAGGCAAACTTTCGAATTTGTTACAAATATCAGGTTGAAAAGAGCCTTTGCTGCTCTTTATTGTGTACTTTTTGATCGTTTTTGTGTTCGCGGATAGCTTTCCTCCTACCGCATTCATATTTTCTGCTGAACAGCAGGTAGACTCCACAACGATCTTCTCTGCATAACGATTTTTTCGTCCGACTCCGACATCAGGGTTTTCTTCCCATCCAATACTGTATGTACAGAGGTTCTCCACAACGAAATTCTCCCTACGAGTTCATTTTTCCGGCCTCCTGAATATCTTTGTAGAAAGAGTCCACCTCTATCTATTTGGCAATTTAGAAAATTCAAGTACTGCACCGAACAATTCGGAGAAATTTCCAAGGGATCCGTGACGAATTAGCCACTCCATAAACATTACAAAGCTTTTTTTTTTACAAAATGTCGGTTGCATAACTTTTGGAGGGTCTTGATATACTCTTGAAAATATCAAACACTCTGTCGACAGACCTTCAGGATGATGTTCCCCACTATTGTATAATGGTTAACCCGTTACCCGAGACACCATAGCTGCGATGAATGAAAACAGGAATACGAAATCATAGTGAAAAACGTCATTGCTGTTCGTTTCCCGGAGAAAATCAATCTCACCCACAGCTGAAACGTGACACATGTCGAAATTCAAACACATCTCAAGCAAAAAACTTCCAAGGAGAACACCAACTGTGACAAACAGTACCACGCAGTACAAGCACAGAGATCCATTTTCACCTGTGTGCGTCGGCATTAAAAAAAACAAAACAAAAAACCCAAAAAAATCAAGCTCGTCAAACAACGTCGAGACACCCAATGGCACACGCGACGAGATGACCAGCGCTCGCCAATCCAAGCAAAAATGCGTAAAAAATCAAAGCTCAAAAGGGGAGGGGGCCCAAAGGACACCATCATTTCCGGGTGTTAAGGAACGCGACATCGCGGGATTCCTTGCCGACGAATACACATAATTCCCCGGAAATCACGTTTCACATGCAAGTTTTCTTCATTTTTTTTTGTTTTGAACACCGGTAACACAACCTAACGCTGCTCCACGAGCTCGACACCCAAATTCCCTTCAGCCCCGACAAGTTACGAAAAGACACGGAAAACCCAGCACGCTTAAAAAAACAAAGCAAACCGTGAATGATGAGATGCTTGCGTGACAACTACTCGCGAAATCGTCCTTCGCGAGAATTCTCTTTGTACCAGTTTCGTGTAAAATCATCGACTTGTTGGTTCACTCAGGCAGTTGCATGTCGTCTTGCTTCCCCACTCCATTCACAAATGGAAGCCAAAAAGACTTGAAGAAAAAGAAAATAAAAAGCAACACATGTTATCAAATCTGTGGGATTCATCTTCGGGATCATTTGACGACACGACTCGAGATTAATGCAATCGAAAACACACGGGCACAAAGCCTAATCTTATCAGCATACAATACTTGAATGAAATGATCTGCATTACTTCAAGGTTTAAAGAAAACATTAATCACGGTATTTACTGGACGGTGAAAAATTACGTTAGTTGCGACTTGACTAGGTTCAGTCATTTAAGGTGGTTCCGTAAATCATTCGAGTGTCGAGGCTAGTTGAAGTTTAGACTGAATTATTCTGGTCAATAAGTTAGATTAGTTGGGACAGCTCCGATCAGTTAGAATCGGATTGGACACTCATAATTTTTTTCTTACACGTTCTCCGAAAACTGAATGCAAAGTAACAAAATATTTAGCTGTCTATGAAACCCAGAAAATTTTTCTCTTTTCAACAAAACCACTAGAAAGTTTAGCTCACAGTGGCTGTGTAAGATGAAGCAAGAAGCATGGCAGTGGGACAGAACTTCATCGTGGTAATCGGTGATGTCCCAGCCGCACTCAGCTTCGCAATGCAACTGTCCTCTCGAACATTCCAAATGTACAGGTATCCATCCGGGGAACCTAAGAAAATGTAAAAAAAAAAGTTAAAACTGACTAAATATTCATTTTTGAAAGATTCTAGATGTGTCGTCGGCCTTAATACATGAAAATAAGTCCTGTAAAGCATAGCAATGGAAATCAATGAGGCACATTTGAATAGTCATGGGCCAGGAACCTGAGAAAGCTTTGGACTCACCACTGAAAATATGCCCAGACGAAGGGGAGAAACAAGCTTCTGCTGCAAGATTGGAATTAACATTGGCACGATGTTCCTGCAAATAAAAATAAAAAATCCGACTGCAGAAAAAATTATTCGAACACGATATCCAGTTTTACTTACATTAAAATTGCACAGAAGACGTCCATCGTAAGCATCCACCACTCCAATCATGGTCGTCGTCATGATCATTACGTACCGTCCATTAGGACTGAATTTGACTCCCGTCCAATCTCCAGTTATCTTTTCTTCGTAATTAAACGTCGAAAAGGGGGGCTGTAGGCAATTAAGAAGATTACTGTATTACGATAAATCGAAGAAATCACACTTTGAAAAACTGAGACTTTAGATTCACCGAAGAAGACAAGAGAATTGATCGTAACATACAAGAGCTCATTGTTGCATCTCAAAACACATTAGACAATTTTTCAGAAGTGCAGCACTTCAAAAGCTGAGAAAGTTAAATTCGCTCTTACTTTTCATAACATCATTTTCCACGAGTGGTATTATTGAAAATTTAGTTCTGACGGCAATATCATAAAACCTATGAATATCTTAATTTGTGTTTAAGGAAATGCCAAGTACTTCAAAATTTTAATCGTGTGGTCATTTAAAGTATGTTCACAGAATAATACAAATTTTCTTTGGCCTGAATTTCTGAAAAAAAATACGTACAATAAAATAGAATACAATGCATCTTTTCGGATCAAATTAATGCTGGTCAGCCAATTTTAACGAACTTTTCAATACGCCATGTTGATACGCTGACTTCTTTACGCACAATACGAAGGTTTAAAATTTTTCTACATCGAATTAATGTTTGGAATCTATTTCTATTTCTATGAATGAGCCCATAAAATTATTTTCTGTTTTCCCCTCCACTTAGGAAAATTGCAGTCCTTTTCTACTACTGTAGTGTGGGCCTTACTTCTCGGGCTCATTACATCCATCTCCACGTTCACATGTTGAACGATTATGATGAACCGTTTCACTACATTGCAAATGGCTAAAAATTAGTGGATATTTACGGAGACTAAGACTTACTCTGTCAATTGTCCGAATATCGTGCATATACAGACGCCGATTATCCCCAGCGATGACTATCGCTAATCCTTCAGGATCGAAATCCACGGCAGGAACACAGGGGAGGCTTAGAATTCCTTGGGAATTCGTTGAACGAGTGTCCCACAGCCTCACTGTTTTATCTTCGGAAGCTGACACGAACATGTCTTGTTTGGGTGACATCCGTAAAGACGTTAATCTAGAAATGAACGATGTTAGCAATTCAAGACTATAATTTTCAATGAGAGAAGAGCTTTGGAAAATAAGAATGGACTGACGAAGTTATAAAAGGCCCAGCCGATAAAACAAGAAGCACTGAACAAGACTTACTTTCCTTGGTGTCCTTCGAAGTATCGCAGGTACCGATTTTCCGTCAGCAACAACATCCGAATTGTATCTGCGAAAAAATTCAATAGCATTGAAAGTTCAACAAAATTTAAACTCAGCGTCACATTTTTCACTCACGGTCATTTTTGTTCGAAGCATGAATGGCTGTCTTCACATCGTGAGTAAACATGACAAGATCTGCACCGTATTTCTTGCTGAATATCGTCTTCTTAATCCTTGAAAATCAACATACGG